CTAACGTGCTCGATGGGAGGGGTAATCTACCTCAGGCCTCACTCTTTACTACAGGCCTCACGTCCGCCAAGTGAGGCGACCGGGCTCGGGGCTGCGGCTCCCAACACAGAAGAAAATGACAAACAAAATGATTCCCAAATAGGCAGTGAAGAAGAAAACGGCAAGCGAAACGATTCCCAAACAGGCAGTGCACAACACACACCTCCAGGGGAGCCCATAAAAGTCAGGCCGGGGCTGACTATCCTTAGACAATGTAGCAACCAGCTGAAAAGGAAGCGCACAAATAACGGAAACATTAACAGAACTGGCAGGGCAATCACAAAGGATCATCGCAGACACTCTCAATCTCCTCTCAGTAGTGTAAACCAACTTCCAGGTGCCCTGAAGAAACTGCAGGAAAGGGGATACAGGCAGGCTCGCGTTGTTGTCGGGTATGTGGAGTCTCTAAACTTAGGGAGTGAGTTGAGCCTGTTTCCCAGTTGGCGACAGGCCCTTCTTCATCGCGGTGTCTCACACATGGCCAGAATGTGTCCGGATCATGCTTAGGTGAGCTGTTTTCTATTACTGCACACACGCACACACCCCACACATTGTAAATACATGATAGAAGCCATCGGTTTATGTGGCTGCAAACAAAACCACCATGACGATGATCACAAATCAGGCATCACTCGTCCAGGATGCTGTGTCTCAATTCGCTGCACCCTTAGGCTGCACACACAGGTGGGGCGTGAACGCGGCTCCCAAGGCGATGGCTGCCTTCGCCCCAGCCGCTTCCTCAGGACAGCCCGCCCCTCTGCCGTCCACACCGCGCTCCTGCCTGCTGGTCGGGTACTGCTCTTCCGAGGGGACCCGCAGCCCGGCTCCCCCTGGCGGGCGACCCGCGCCCCTCGCCCGGCCCTGGTTCCCGGCCTCACCCTCAGCAGCCGGGCTTCGAGGGCCGCGTAAGACCGGGGACACTGTGATCACGGGCCCAGGGGCTGACACCGTGTCCATCGCGAAGGACCGCTCCCGCGGACCTGGGCGGCCGGGGCCTGACCGGCAGTGGCAAAGAGTCCTTCCCAGAGGCAGCAGGGGCCGAGACTGCACAGCTACACCTTTTGCTTCATGCTGTGCTATGATCCCTTATCACACACAGACCGTCTCCAGAGCGATGCCGCCACGTGCTTGCAGAGAGGGGGCGGGGCGCGAGCGTCCAATGAACGAGGCCGGGGTCTGGAGCGCCCAATGAGCGAGGCCGGGGGCGGGGCCCCGTGTCCGCTGAGCAATGCCAGGCGGGTAACCGCGCTAGGGCACCAGTCTGAGGCGCCCTCAGCGCTGGACCAGGATATCAGGCTTGGCGCGCATCGCTTCTTGGCTCCCTCCCTCCCTCCCCTTGGGTGAATGTTCTTAGTTCTTATCCTTGTGTGTTCTTCCAGGCTGAAAAGTACCGAAGGGTTGCAAATCAGAACCCAATGGTATTGATCACACTTTGAATTTTGTTGCCTGAGCAGGGGAGTGTTAGGAAACTAGTCGACTCTGTAGCTGTACAATTAAATTTCATTAATGTTTTGTCACCTTTGATTTACTCATGACTATAATTGTCATCATTCTGTGTTGAAACTCGTAGTATAGCTCTTTTTTTTTCTTTTTCTTTTTTCTTTTTTTGTCTTTTTCATTTTTATCGGTACCGGGGATCGAACTCACGACCGTCTGCTTGCAAGCAGGTACTTATGCTGCTGAGCTAAATCCCCAGCCCCCTATAGCTCTTTTTTTTTGTGCATGGCAAGCGCCAGTCTGCTTTCTGCTTCTTGTTTTTTTTTTTTTTCTTTTGTTTGTTTTGTTTTTGTTTTTTTGTCTTTTCATGGAAAGTTGAATCCTCCTGCCTCAGCCTCCCGGAACACCAGGGGAGCACCAACCTGCCGGACTTTAGCCGCTATCTTATGACACTGCCTATGCCTCTCACTGAAGCATCTGGAAAGGTTGCTTTGTGGAGGAGGAAGGACAAGGACATAGTCCATGCTCGGTGTTAGTCTGCATCTCCCCCTGTCCTGTGTGGTGAGAAATCTAGGCAAGAAATTGTAATCCTGGGAGGTACTGAGGAAACCAGAGCCTCATGGAGGGCGTTTCCTGTGCGTGGGGGGAGACTGAGAGATGCAGACAAGCTGGAGGGCAGGACACCCAGAGCAGTGGCTCTCCCCACGCCTACCCACTACCCGACACCGCCCCCCTCCCCCCAAGCTCCAGCAAATGGCGCTCTTTCTTTGAGAGAGGCTCTGGCTATGCAGTTCAGGCTGGCCTGGATGTCACTATGGAGTCCATGCGGGCCTGAAACTCATTGAGTTCCTCCTGCCTCAGCCTCTGAGAGCTGGGTTTCCATGGTTGGATCAGCACGCCCAGCTCCAATCATGATTTCTCCTCCCACTCAAGCAGGGCGAGGTGTCTGATGGGTGTCACCCCAGCGCTGGGATGCTGAGGCCCAAGGACTGCTGGGAGTTGCAGGCCAGGGGAGGCTGGTGAGTTGAAGCCAGTGAGAGCTCTCCCTGCCAGCCTTTCCATCTTTCCCTTTCTTGGCTCTGGGTGTGCTCAAAGAAGGGGCTTCCCATTTCAGCCCACTGGGGGAAGGCTGAGTGTTGCAGGGCGTGGGACGGGACCCTCATGCTCTTGGAAGCAGAGGCAGCTGTGGAAGTCCAAGTGGTGGCCTGCATTTGAGGCTCTACAGGGAGAAAGGTGAGCAGCCAGCAGTGACAGAGCTGGCCTCTACTCCCCGCACGCTGGGAGGCTGAGGCCAGAGGATGGCCACAATGTCCAGACCAGCCGCACTAGGTGTCGAGAGCCCATGTGCAAAGGAAGAAAGAGGCGGACATGGCGGTGACGGTGGTGCTGGCCTGTACAGGCAGCAGTGTGGAGGCTGAGGTAGGAGGGTTGTGAGAAGTGGGAGAGCCGCTTAGCCTCCAGGGTGAGTTCAGTACCAGCCTGCGCTGCAGTAGAATCACATAAATAAATATATAAGTAAATAAAGGAGTAAATGAGTGAATGAACGAATAAACACAAAATTGTAGAGACGAGGGTAGAAGAGAAAGGCAGCATCTATTTGTTGAATTGCCTCCTGGTAGTGCAGCTTGAATTCAGAAGCCAGGCCAAATGGACATCCCCAATAGACTGTTCCACTTGACATAGTGCCCGATGCCAACACATGGTGAGGAGCCTGAGTGGCAAGACTTCATAGAGGACCCGAAGGCCTGGAGCATGGTCAGAGCTCCCACCCCACCCCAACCACACCCCCACCCCTCGCGTAGCACTGAATTGTCCTGAGTGTGGGGAGCAGGTGTCCCCCGCCACCAGGGCCCGGGCTGGCCTCCACTTTGCTGTAGGGCGCAGGCCGCACCTGAGGGCTCCAGGCCTCCTAGGTGAGTGGCATCCTGGGTGGTGTGGTGGCGGGCAGCAGGCTGTTGCCTGGCGGGCAGACATCTCTGAGCACAGCTGCTTGGCAGCTGCGAGATGGAAGATGGTGGTGCAAGTCGCCTGTCTGTCTGGCTCCCACTATGTCTGTGGGGCGCCCAGTGGACCCCAGAGCAGTTGGGCCCTGCTCACAGGCGCAAGGAGCCCCAGAAAGTAGAGCGACCAATCCACAGGAGGGGCAAGAGCGCGGGCAGCCACAGGCCGCAGGGCACACTGAGGACGACGTGCAGGGCCAGGTGGGCGTGCAGGGGCTGCCCCCAGGCTGCAGCAGTCAGGTCGCCTGGGTGGAGCGGGTGGCTGTACACACCCCGCAGCATGGCCAGAGCCCGTGGCTTGGCTCGCTCCCCGCTGCCCAGGCTGCGCACCAACTCCAGCAGCCAGCACCGCGCCCCCGCCGGCCTCCCCACGCTCACGCGGCCATCCTCCATGGCCCAGGCCTCCAGCTGGATCAGCGTGGGGCTGTGCTCCTCCAGGCGCCGAAGCTGGCCTTCCCCGTGTGTGTCCCTTGAGCAGAACACGCCTCCTCCTGCTCCGGGTCCACGTAGAAGACCAGCGACTTGCGGAAGAGCTCGGGCCGCGTCCACCAGGCGCGTCTGCCTTGGCCCAAGCCAGCGCTGCTGGCCATGGCTGAGCTGGGGAGACCGAGACCCAGAGGAGGGAGGGCAGCAGGTCAGACAGGCTCGGCCCTCCGGGCACTTGAGGGCCCAGGCAACAAGGCACCCAACTCTGGCTGCTGCTTCTCTCCCTGGGGATCCGCCTCCCCTTCCCATCCTTCCTCCCCCAGCGCCTCTCCCTGCCATCTTCCTGAGCCCAGAGCGGACCCACCTGGCACCCAACTCGCCAGCCTCTACTCACCTCTCAGCTTTGCACTAGAGAATGTCCTTGAACACACTTGAAATGCAAGGGATGTGCAAATGCCAATATGCTGCAGTCACCTACTGTTTTGTTTTTGAGGCGGGGTCTTTCCACTTAGCCCAGCCTGGCCTTGAGCTCAGGGCAATCTTCCTCCCTCAACTTCCTGAGACTGCTAAGATTACAGATGTGAACCAGTCCCTCTGGCTTACAATCATATCTTCTTTCTTTTCATTCATTTGATTTTTTGAGCTGAGGTCTCACTATGTAGTTCAAGATGGTCTTGGACTCATAGCGGTGCCCCTGCTTCAGCCTCCTGAGGGCTGGGATTAGAGATGTGTACCTGCGTGCCTGGCTCTGTTTATTCATTTAGTGATACGGAGGTGAAAGCCAGGGCCTCACTCATGCTACACAAGTGTCCTACCACTACACTGCTCACTCAGTGCTCCCAGTCTTTCCGAATAGTCCTAAGACTCGGCCCACCCCAGAACCTCAATAAAATAAGTCACCTGTTGCTGCCAGTTTTTTACTGTTTTGTTTGGCGTACTGTGGATTTGATCTAGAGCCTTTGTACTGAGCTATATCCCCAGTCTTTTATTAATTTTTATTTTGAGTCAAGGTCTTACTAACTTGCAAAGTAGTCCAGGTTGGGCTCCAAATTTTTGATAGGTTTTTCTGTGGTGCTATAGAAAGGTAAGAGCAGAGAATGCACAAAAGAGAAAGGCCTTTATTGTGGACAAGGGACAGCTGCGGGAGACTGCACGATCCCAAGGGCGCAGACACGAAGCTGAAAGCTTTTATTCAGTTCGACAGGCAGTGGAGTTTGAAGGGGCAGGCAGCCCGTGGTTTTCACAGAGGATTGTGGGAGTATCAGCATGCATGAAAAAAGTGAGGAGTTCAGTTTTCTAGTTTGGAAGAACCCTGAGGTCAGTGTTGGAGGGAGCTGCTGTCCAGTACCATGGTGGGCAGGCACCATGCTGAGGTTGGCAGTGCTTCACATGGGCAGAAATTCCTTTTGATCTTCCTGCCTCAGCTTCCCTGAACCCCAGGATTTTAAGCGGGTGCCACCAGGCCGGGTTTGGTGCCAGTTTTTAGTTTTAGGTTTGGAGAAGTCTCAAAAGCCAAAAGAAATAAAAATGCAAACATTTGAATTTCCTTGGGCTTGTTTTCTTTTCAGAAAGAAAGTTCTCAACAATCAGATATTGTCAGAAACATATCACTATCACATATGGCTTCATTAATGACATTCACTGCCACAGCCCTCGCAGTTCTAGATGCTCCCAGGGTGACGCTGGTAAAAGGATCTAGAAAAAAGGGCAAGAGTCAGAATACAGAGAACTGAGACCACAGCGAGCCCTCTCTCCTAATGGGAAGGAAGGATGGAGGAAGGAAGGAAGGAAGGAACTAAGGAACAAGAGAGCTCCAATGGCTGCAGTACCTTTAGTAACACAGTTGGGAGACTGTACTGGCTGGAACCTCTCCACCTAAGAGATTACCCTCATGCCTCGTCTCAGGCACCAGTGTTCTTGAGATTGGAGCAGCTTATCCATGTGATTTGCCTCAGGTGCTCTGATCTTGAGACCAGCCTTGCTCCAGCCCTGCCATGTTGGTGACTGATCATCAGCTGTTCCCCACATCTCCCCTTTTCTATTTTATAGTTGTAAGTGATGGGAAGTTAGCTGAGGCTGGAGGAGCTGTGTTTGAAGAAATCTGTAGATCTTTTTATTCTTGTATCTTTTTACTTTGAGTGAACTTGTTGAAGCTAAAGATTTCCAGTCCAAAGATTCTGAGTCTCTGCATTTAGTAATTTAACCTCCTACAGTCCATAAATCCACAACAGTAGTCAGTGAACAGTGTGGCTGAAAATTGTCAGAAGGTATTAGTGATTTAAGTTTAAGTTTCTTTTTGGCATTGTTTTATACTTCTTGTGGTATTTTATTTCCAAGTTGTTCAAGACCAAGTTAGGGTGAGGCCTGTATTAACTTCAATCAATCTCATGTTATTTATCAAGGTCACTTAAGTTTCCTCAAGAATTACCTTGGTACTATGCACAGCACTTCCTAGGACTTTTGTCAGTGTCAGCGCTCTGGATGAGTCACGGCCATTGCTTGACCAACTTGCTTTCTGTGAAATCTTGGGAGAGTTTTCTCTCCTGGTGACTCTCTTTAGACATACTATAGATCACAGATCTTTAACCTCTGTGGTCATACAATCTCCTTGATCAGGAGTTTGTAGTACTCACCAGAGTTTTAGGATGTTGCTGAAAAGGTTCCTTCTTGCCTTATTAACCTCTGAGGGCTGGGACCAAAATATTTGCTGCCCATCTATCTTTCTAGTTTCTTGTCTCTCTACCTCGGTTGAACATCCAGAAGAGCAGGTTAATGACATGGCATTTTGTAATGAGGACACTTAGCTTACTATTACTGTGTTATCTGAATATTAAGCACCTTAGAACATAACATACAGCCATTATTTTTTTTTATCAGTACCGGGGATTGAATTCACGACCACCTGCTTGCAAGGCAGGTGCTTATGCCGCTGAGCTATATCCCCAGCCCCACAGCCATTATATTTTAACAACCCTGGGTGTTCTAAAGGTTGAATCTCTTTAGAATGCTAACAGGCAACAGTTATATAATTTTTACCCAGAAAATTTAAAAACAAAACCATAGGGGCTGGGGATTTAGCTCAGCGGCATAAGCGCCTGACTTGCAAGCAGGCAGTCGTGAGTTCAATCCCTGGTACAGATAAAAACGAAACAAACAAACAAAAAAACCAAAACCATAGATAATAATGTAGCATGACAATCATATGACATTCTTGTGACATACTTAAATTTCATATAATTTTGGTATTATTACTGACTGGTGACCTCATTTTGGATTAACATGAAACTCCTGTCACAATCAATTGCAACACAAAAGAAAGCAAATGTCTGAATTATCACAGCAGTTGCTAAACAATATCCAGAGTGTATATGAGTCAGAAGTCGCTCTCCATGTAGAGGCCCCAAATCAGCAGCATCCGAGTTACCCAAAAACCTGTAAGAATGTGGGTAATGTCACCCTGAAAGGACAAAATGTGTTTAGGAGGCTATCAATAATCTACTCTTTGTATGTAGAAAAGCACAGTATATAGGCCACTGTACTGGACATTTGTATTAAAATTCCGTGGGAAGGACAAGGGGACAGGGAAATAATTTTTCTAAAGTGTCCCAGGGGAGAGGGAAATGACAGTCTTGAAAAAGGACAATTCGGGGCTGGGGATTTAGCTCAGCAGTATAAGCACCTGCCTTGCAAGCAGGCGGTCGTGAGTTCGATCTCCAGTACTGATAAAAAAAAAAAAAAAAACTGAAAAAGGACAATTCAAGAAACAAGGGGAAAGCACAAGTGATTCCCAGGAAGGCATGGTGGTGCACACCTGTGATCCCAGTACTTGGTAAGGCTGAGGCAGGACAATCATTGCAATTTCACGATCAGCATGGCCTACAAACTGAGGTCAAGGCCAGTCTGAATTGCACAGCAAGACCGTGTCTCAAAACAACAACAAAAAAGAAGTGAATTCCCAGTGCAAAGACCCTCATCCACACAGCTACTGAGGTGTTGACCCTGGCCACTGACACCCACACACCTCCAGCAGGGCACTGCTCAGGGACTAGAACTTGGGTGTGCAGAATTCAGCCTGTGAGGTGGGCAAGTCTTCCATTATGACCAAGGGGAGCCCACAAAAGCCCTGTGTGGTGCCCACCATGGAGTCTGTGGCTCCTAAATTGACCTGGATGGGCTGTGTCTGGCTAGAAGGAACAAGAACCCCAGGATGTCCCAGCCAGGGCTGGGAATTTAGCTCAACGGCATAAGCGCCTGCCTTGCAAGCATGAGGTCATGAGTTCGATCTCCAGTACTGATTTTCTTTAAAAAATTGTGTTTAAAAAAAAGAATGTCCCAGCCAATGTGCTGGGCAGAAACACAAGAATGAGGCAGATCACTTACGTGGGAACTTCTTGTCCTGGAGCTGCTGCACAGCCCGGCTCAGCTTATTCTTGAGGTCCACGGTGCCCTGGCAGATGTCCTTCATCAGCTCGTCCCCCACCCTAGGGACATAGACTGGCTTCATGGAGATTTCTTGCAGTTTGGATGCTTTCTGGAACAGGCAGAGGGTTACAGTAGGTGCCTCTGGGGAAGCCAGGGCCTGGCTCTGTCCATTCCAACCCATAGCAAATCCTGGCGCCCACGAGTGCTCAGGTCAAGTAGCCACTCAAGTTTTAGGCCTGAAGTCACCAGGGCTTACAGTGCCCTTCCAACAACTCTGCCAGTGAGTTTCAGAGAAGCAGCTGGAACATGGGCCCCCCTGACCTCTTTAGTGATGGCTAGGACAGTGCAGGAACACAGGACCCTCTGTGGCTTCCCTCAAGCCACAGCCCCAGGGACGGCACACAGGCACATCCTACAGGAAGGAAGGGTCTCTCAGAAGGTCTCAGCTTTGCGCCTAACTGGGGTCCAATCTCATGCAGAGGCCAGATCCGGAATCCTCTCTCAGCCTGCTCCACCCTGGCATGGGCAGCATCATGCAGAGAGGAGAGAGGGTTCCCCCGACCCTCAATTCCCAGAACAAGGAGGCTGGGGCTCCGGGGTGGTGGCAGCCCCTGCACACCAGATACAAGCTCCTCGTGGGGCACTGGAGGAGGAAGTAGCAGAGAGCCATGGATGGGCTTCTGGTCGAGACACGAAAACGGGCACATCTGAAAAATCACCGAGCATCATAGTGAAGGCAGCGGGACATGCTCTGGATCAACAGGTGGCACAATAATGGGCCCTAGGAAGATGGTAGCTGGGCCTGGGCACAGGACAGGATCCACTGGGCAGAGGGCAGGGGGCCTTGCTGCCTCAGGCCCACAGACGGAGTGTGCGGGTATGAAAAATGCCTCCTCGCAGTGAGGGCATGGCGGGTCTGCAGGTACTGGAAAGAGACAAGCCTGCAGGCAAAGTGCGGCCTGGCACCAAGGACCTCACAGGCAGGAAGCCAGAAAGGGCAGAGCTCCAGTGCTCCACAGGGCACTTTCAGGGTCACACAGAGGGAGGACAGGAGGAGGAGGAGGAGGCTCATGGGAGGCTCATGGGAGGTGGCAGTCTAGGATGGCCCCACATTCCTGCCCCTCCTGGGCACACAATCTGCCTAATCCCTCAACCATGAGGACACGGGATGGCAGTGGGCTGGGGCATCGCCCCTGACTGGCTTACATTACACTGCAAAGAGGAAGGAACACTGCAGGTAGAATCCAGACTCCACGTCATTGACTCTGAATGAGCCAACAGGTGATTTTCCCGCAGGAGCCAGACTTAATCAAGTCAAACTTCTTCCACAGAGAGATGGAAAGACATTCTCCCCCTGGCTTCAGAAAATAAGCAGCCAGGTCCACAGAAGACCTCAGGCAATGGCCAGCAAGAATGTGGGGAACTAGATCCCACAATTCCAGGGAACTGAATCCTGCCAAAAACCAGCTGAGCCTAAAGCACAGGCCTGAGCTCGGAAACCAGCGCAGTCTACCCAACACAGAAACAGCCTTATCAGACCCCAGGCACACAAGACCCCAAGAAACTGTCTCAAGATCCTGAGCCAGAGAGACAAAGAACAAAGGTGTGTTCTCTTAAGCCCTTAAGTCCGGGACCAGTTTTTACACTGCACAGAAAACTGATACAGTGTGCATCTTGCTAGGCACTTTAGGCTGATCTTGAACTCACTATATAGCCCAAATTAGTCTTGAACTTGTAGTGATCCTCTGGCCTCAGCCTTTCAAGTGCTGACATTACAGTCTGTGCCACCACGCCCAGCTCATCAGGGATGCTTCTAATGCCTCCTCCAGTCCCAGCTCTGGGAGGACAGAAAGTACTCAGCAGCGCGCTCCTCAACACCCACCTCCACAAACTCGAACTTGTCCTTCTCAGCCAGGTTGAGCTCGACCTCATCCTTTAGGGTCTGGATCTCATTCCTCTTCTTGAGCAGAATCTGATAAGCACTGTCGAACTCACTTCTCATCCTCTTCTCCTCTTCCTTTATCTTGTGAATAGTGCTGGCCTCAGAGGAGTCAATGAGCACCTTCATTTCCCGGTATTCCTGTTTCATCTCCTCAATCTTCTGTCCTGCAGCATCCTAAAAGCCAAGGCAAGAAGGTGTGTGTCCATGAGAGGGGGCCGGGGTCCTGCACCTGAACTCAGTGGAAGCAGGGACTGCATAGTTGTTGTGAGCAGCCATGTGCAACACTCAATGAGAGAGTGTGGAGGTGCCACCTTGGCCCCCAGGGACTCCCAACTCGGCATATACTCCCCCAAACCTCTCGGACCTCCTTAGAGACACACCTCAAATATTCATAAGCAGTACTGGCTTTTATTTATTTATTTTGTTTTGTTTTGTTTTCTGAGATAGGGTCTCACTACATAGTCCAAGCTGGCCTCGGACTCATAGTGATCCTCCCTTCTTGGCTTCCCAAGTGCTGGGATCACGGGTATGCACTAACACATCCAGTAGAAGCAACACTGCTTGAAAAACAAACATCAAAAATGAGCAGGACATCTATCAACAGGAGACCGGAACAGAAATGGCGCAGGTATCCAGCAATGCACAGAATGGATGCATTCAGGAGAGGCTGCTTCAGGAGGACAGGACGGGGATGGGATGGGGGTGCTGTGCCAGAACATTCCATTCCCTTTTCCCTGTGGTACTAGGGATCGCACTGGGCTGCGTACATCCCCAGACCTCTTCTTACTGTTTTCGTGGTCTTTCTTTGTTTCTTTTACTTTTATTTTTTGAGACTGTCTCACTACCTAGCCCAGGCTGGCCTTGGACTTGCGGACTCTCCGTCTCCCAGGTACTGGGATTATAGGAATGCACCATCACAGTCAACTGAGACACTTTATTTATTAAACTATAAGCTGTTCCTAAGTAATTGCTTTATTTTATTAGGGGGCAGGAGTTGGGTTTTTGGGACAGAGTCTCAATATGTAGTTCAGGTTGGCCTTGAACTCCCTAAGGATCCCAGGCTGGTCTACACAGCAGATTCTCATGCTCCAGCTCCATCTGGATTCAGAATGTGCCAAGACTGCATCTCCCAAATCCTCTGTGACTAGGCTCTGGGGTCTGACTAAGCAAATCCCAGTGCTGAGGCACAGCCAGGAATGACAGATGCAGCACTGTCACTTGTGCAAAGGAAACTGCTAGTCAGGAGTGGTGTATGCTGTACTCCCAGCCCTCTGGGAGGCTGAGACAGGAAGATCAGGAGTTCTAGACCAGCCTGGGCAATTCAACAACTTAGTGAGAACCTGACTCAAAATAAAAATTTAAAAGGGGGGAACCAAGCAACCAGCACCCCACCCTAGTACGCGGCCTTGAGCCTACCAGTGCGTGGGCTGAGAATAAACATCCCATCCTCCCCCCCACCTTCATTAGCAAATGGAAGCCAGAGATCTGAGCATCTCTTGGGAGGTTGATCATATGCAATATAGCAAACAAGGGGAATTTCCTTCTACCATCTCTTTGAAGGTAAATATTTTTATCACTGTTTTGCTTTGTTCTGATTAATGGTGTTGCTCTGCTAAATATTCTGTTTTGATGAATTCTATAATGTTCTGTATTTCATTTATTTTTGCTATACCTGATGGAAAGAACAACTATTGTGAAGATGACACGATAGGCTGCCCGCCTGGAGCAGGGAGCTGGGCCGAGCCCTGGGAACCTGATCCAGCCTTGCCTGCGACCTTCTTTCGGCCTGGAGAGCACCAGCACTACTGCCACTGCCTGGAGGAGGGAGCAGCCCTGCTGAGGAGGTTTGAGGCCTACCTAGGCCGTAGGGGTGACCTTCTATCAGCCCAGGGAGCTTTACCATCCAAGGAGGTGGATGGTTACACAACATCCAATCCCTAGGAGAGTATGAGATCCTTGCTGTAGGGGTTTGAGGGCCCACTGGACTTGCAGCCACACTAGATTGGGCTTAGCGGGATTTGGGCCTGCCTCGTCCACCCCGGGTGGCCTTCGTTCCATCAGGGGAGCTTTGCTGCCAGAGGGGGGAGCTGTGCAGCTTGAGGAGGCTTTAGACCTACCTGAGAGGAGCCTGGCAACCTTCTTTTAATCCAGGGGCCTCACTGCCCAAGGAGGGAGCTAAGCTACCAGAGGAGTCCCAGGAGCCCAGGACATAGGAGACAATTTCCAACATGCCCAACGGGAAGCTTTGGAACAACACTTGAAACACAGAAATATATAAAAATGACAAAATCAAACAACAAAATGCAATCTCAAACCTCCACCCCATCCCAAGAAAACCTAGGAGCCATGTACATAGAAGAAAATACATGCCATATGCCTGAAATACCTGAAATAATAGTAACCGAAATAAAGAAGCAACTCTGGGAAGCGTTAAAGGAATCCAAACTAGAAATAATCTCCCAGGTAAAAGAAGAAATGATAAAAGAAATGAAGGAGATGCTGAACATACCTAAAGAAGACACAGTTAAAAATTGGAGGAAGTAAACAAAAAGATACAATCCCTGGATGAACAATATAAGAAACAAACAGAATACATAATGCAGATGCAAAGAGATATACAGGAAATCAAAAATTCCATTGAAATTGTAGAAACTGCCTCAATGACAGTGAAGATGAATTTCAGACCTTGAAGACAAGATTGCAGCCAGTGAACAGGAAAGGAAAGATCTTTTTAAAATAACAAGAAATCAGGAAATAACAATTCAACAACTGCAAAATGACACACAAAAAAACAACATAATATTGATAGTGATAAATGAAAAAGAAGGAGACAACATAAAGGATGTCAAGACGATATTTAGAGAAGTAATAGCTGAAAATTTCCGAAACATGAAACTGGAAACTGGTATCAGGATCAGTGAAGCATATAGAACTCCAAATAGCCATAACCAAAATAAAACTACACCCAGACATATAATATACAACATCCCAGAAATCCAACAAAAGAATAGAATATTAAAAGCTATCAGACAGAAAAGACAGACCATTTATAATGGAAAACCTATCAGAATCACATCAGACTTCTTAGCACAAACAATAAAGTCAAGAAGAGCATGGAGTGAAGTAGTTCAGATCCTAAAGGAAAATGATTTCCAACCTAGGCTTATGGGCCCTGCAAAACTGTCCTTCAAAATAGATGGAAAAATAAGATACTTCCATGACAAAGAACAGTTGAAGAACTTCGTGATCACCAAGCCAACCCTGCAAAAAATATTGAAAGACAGTTTAGATACACTTAGGAAAAAACACTAAACAAAACAGACAAACAGAACAGAAAGATAAAGATGCAACAGCAGAAAGATAACATGTCAACAATAAACCAACATATAACAGTTATAACCATTAATGTAAATGGTCTCAATGCACCAATTAAAAGAAACAGACTGGCAGAATGGATCAAGAAACAAAATCCAACCATATGCTATCTACAAGAAACCCATCTAACCCAAAAGGATACTCATGGACTGAAAGTCAAAGGATGGAAAACAATACTTCATGTAACAGGAACCCCCCAAAAAAAGCAGGGGTAGCTATTCTGTTTGCAGACAATGTGTACTTCAATAATGATCAGAAGAGATAAAGAAGGTCACTACATACTGGTTAGGGGGAAAACTCCAAGAGGAAGACATAACTGTCTTAAATATATATGCACCAAATTCCAGAGCACATAGTTATATAAAACAACTATTAACAGAAATGAAAAGCCAAATTAGCAGTAACATAATTCTAACAGGAGATCTTAACACACCATTGACACCAAGGGACATGTCACCCAGACAGAAAATCAGCAAAGAAATAACAGAACTGAATCACACCTGTGAACAAATGGACTTGATAGACATATACAGAGTGTTCCATCCAACAACAACAGAATACACATTCTTTTCAGCAGTACATGAGTCATTCTCTAAAACAGACCATATATTAACTCACAGAACATATTTAAATAAATGCAAGAGTTGAAATTATCCCTTGCATGTTATCGGATCATAGCACTATGAAATTAGAAATTAATGATAAAAGATACTGCAAAAATCCCACAAATACATGGAAACTGAATAACACACTCTTGAGTAATCAGTGGGTCACAGAGGAAATTAAAGAAGAAATTAAACAATACCTACAAGCAAACGAAAACACAAATACAACTTACTAGAATCTGGGATGCAATGAAAGCCGTCCTCAGAGGAAAATTTATTGCACGAATTCCCATATCAGGAAAACAGAACGAATACAAATAAATAACCTGATGCTACACCTCAAACATCTAGAAAAGGAAGAGCAAGTCAAGCCCAAAGCCAAAAGAAGAGAGGAAATTATAAAAGTCAGAGCAGAAATCAATGCAATAGACACTAAGAAAACAATCCAAAGAATCAAAGAGTTGGTTCTTTGAAAGAATAAATAAAATCGATAAGCCCCTAGTCAACCTTATTTTTTAAAAAGGAAAGAAAAGGCTCAAATTCATGCAATAAGGAATGAAAAAGGCAAAATCACTACAGATTCTGTAGAAATACAGAAGATCATCAACATCTATTTCGAAAACCTCTACTCTCACAGGTTTGATAACACAGAAGAAATTGACAGATTCCTAGAAGCATATGAAGTACCAAAACTAAGTCAAGAAGATGTAAAACTGCTGAATAACCCAATTTCTATTAATGAATTGAAAATGTAGTAAGTCCTTACCTACCAAGAAGAGCCCAGGCCCAGATGGATTCACTGTAGAATTCTACAGAAATACAAAGAAGACCTAGTGCCGACACTCCTCAAACTCTTCAATGAAATTGAAAGGGAAGCAATCCTACCTAAGTCATTCCTGGAAGCAAATATTACTCTAGTACCAAAACCTGAGAGAAACCCAACTAAAAAAGAGAACTACAGACCAATCTCCCTAATGAACGCAGATGCAAAAATCCTCAATAAAATATTGGCAAATAGGATGCAGCAAATCATCAAGAAGATTATAAACCATGACCAAGTGGGATTCATCCCAGGCACGCAGGGATGGTTCAACATACATAAACGAATAAATGTAAGCCACCACATCAATAAAGCCAAAAGTAAGAATCACATGGTCATTTCTATAGATGCAGAAAAAGCTTTTGATAAGGTCC